AGATTATTTTAATTACTGTATGTTTGCATTATTCTGTTTTAAGGAAATATGTTCATTAAAATCTTGTTTTCAAAGTCATTACAAAATAAAATAATCAAATTGTAAAATTAAAAATCAAAGATTACGACAAATCGTCGGATGAATATTGGCTTCTTATGGCGCTATACATTGATTGCAATAAAATGTTAGACGACTATCAATCACAACTCAAATTTGGCACCAATTCCGTCAATTCTGTGTCCAAACCCAATGAATGGGTCGACCACATGGACGACCACATGGATGACCACATGGATGACCAGGTGTTTCGACACAAAAAGAACCGAAAGAATCGCTTCACCGGTGTTTTGACGAAATGATTCAATACTTGAAATGTTTTGCAGAAATTTGTTGATTTGTATAATCACTTAATTATTGTTTATTGGCACTACAGTAGCTTATAATTCATTTTCTGTATTATTATTTCAATGTATTATAAAATTAAGTTAAATACGAGTGATTGTAAAATATTATATCAAATTAATTGTTTATTTTTGAAAAAATACATTAATATAAATGATATATAATCCACAAATAAAAACGTACAATTAATTCAAATCAAAAATGTTTACGAAAATAACACTAAAATACTTAGTTTCTCACAAATATTTAACTAATATTATTGTCATATACTGTGAAATTGATATAAGCGTTGAGTTTATGTGAAAAATTTAAAATTATTTCATATATAAAACGATTAACTAATAACTGTTTGCTTTCCGATATATTAAACTTTTTAATTCAACTAATATGTTGTGTGAGATTTACAATCACTCAAAACCATAAATCGATTGATAAAAGTCTATTATATTCACTAGTAATTGAAAAAATTTTAAGAAAATGTAATGCATTTTCGTATTCAATATATTTGAGGAATTCTTTCGTATTAATTGGGAATTTAATGAATTGTTTCAAATGCTGTACAGAATTGTGGCTCATTTTCATGTCTGATACCAAACTAAACACTTATTTGTCCTCTAATTCTGGCAATTCTTCGTCATCGCTGTCGGCACCGCCTTCTTCTTTGTCCTAAACATTCAAACCATTAGTACAATGCATACCACAAACTGGACACCAATGCACTTACATCTAAGTCGCCCAAATCAGGCATACCGGCGCCTCCCATACCTCCGAGGCCTCCCATTTGTCTCATCATCTAATAGTAAGAAACAAAGGGTTAGACAACACATGAGAAAGTGATTGAAAAGTCACGGCCGGACACAGACCTCCTCGAAGTCGCCGCCGCCGCCGCCGCCCACACCGCCGGGTCCGGAGGCCTCGTCCTCGGAGTCGTCCTCATCCTTCCACTTATTGAAGTCAATCTTAAGCCAATGGAACTTCTGTTGGGTTTTGAGCAGTCGCTTCCAGAAGGGCCCCTCTTTGGCCTTAATCAGCACAAACTCCGTCCCTCTGTCTCTCACTATATATTTCGAGTCTTCGGTATTAATTTCGTCGAAAAGCTCCAGATTTGCCTCATATTCCTGTTTACTTCCAGTACCCACACCTCTGTTGTACACAAATATATAATATATTAAAACACAACCGGTGATAATACTAACAGTATATACGCCAATGTATGATAAGATAATAAATACATGTATAATAGTAAATCGATTGCTATCTATAGTCAGACTAAACAACAATTAAGGATTGAATTGATAGCTAAACGTAAAACAAATGTATTTAAGAGAAAAGTGTGAAATACGGTAAATGGGATACAAAGTGAGCACTGGTCTCACAAATCAAAGTTTGAAAACATAAACAAAAACCAAATTTAAAACTCAGGGAAAAGCGATGATTGCATGAAAGCATTGACTGATTGCATGTCATTAATAGTGAATCCAATGATTGTGTCATTACTTGTAATAGATTTTGTCTTTTTCTACTTTAATGTCGGGTGACTTGACATCCTCGACACCGATCTTGATGTACACCAGATTAGACCTCTGAGCCCAATATACCGGCGCCGGTAGTACTCTAACGGTGTTTATGAGGGAAAGGGAGAGAAAACGTGCGATAATTTCAGGCGTTTGTGTCACACCTTTAATACATACTTGTGTTGTGTTTCAGGCATTGCTATCACTTCGACACACGATATATGCAATCAATTCAATCACTAAATGCACTCAACTTTCGGACAATTAATGGATTGAACGGCAAATCAAAGCAATTATGAGTGGATTGACGACTGAATGAGACAATGAATGCAACGCTATATGAATGCGTCAAATATAATGCGATTGTGTTTCCCATAGACTATGCTATAGACTGCCATAGACTGTACACTGACTCACGTGACCACGAGATTACTCTAGAAATGAGTCACTCGTATATCAAATTAGGCTCACTTTCTATGGCCCCCTCTCTGCCCCCAATTCACGTGCACTCCATTCAATCGCAATGTAAACTGTGTTTTAACTCACAATATATGTTACGCTTTCTGTGTTCAGCCCAATAGCCCTGACATTGTTTATGACATCTAATTATGATAATTAAGTCATTTTATACATCATTTGATTCATGTATTGATCGCTGATTTATAATTAAAATGCAATCAAATGTTTGAATGAGATTTTTAAATACAATTTGAATGCAAAGACAATTTATAAAGTGTTGTCGATTTAACATCAATTCGAGACTTTTCTATACAAAAGTTTCGCTTTTATTGAAATAGAAAGTCCTCATAAAAAAGTACCAAATCATAGGTTTGCATGACTTGTGAAAACATTGCGATTGAAATGCATTGGAAACGAGAGAGACATCTGTTGAGCGATACGTAAGACAACGAGAGTTGACAACAAATACACGTGAAGTGAAGTGAAGTGACGGCAAACTGACGGCTCACTCGTCGTAATCACAAACTAATTGTCGGTTTGTGTCACACATTGTCCTCAATATGACTGAATTAGGCCTCAAAACACTGGCCAATGGTCCGCAGCCTGACGTCAAATATCCCATAAAAGTGTTGTATTGCGGCGGTTAGTACTCACAGTCACACCACTCACATGTTACCACTGATGTTGATAATTGTCTGGATGTCTGTCCACAGAGTGTTCCCTTCCGGTCGAGTACTGCGAGTATTACCCAAATAACGCCAAATGCAAGGAATGGTTGGAAAGGAATTTACCCGAAGTTTTCGAGGCTATCGTCAAGACTGGTATGAGTTATCACTTGTATATTGAATCCATATATCATTGAAAACCACTCTTCAGGCGATACGACCACTCAGTCGACCGCCAAAAGCGCCGGAAGTAATGACAAGTCGGAGCCGACGGCGGGCGCTGCCGATGAGGACGGGGTGAGCGGTGGGACAGTCGGCGAGAAGAAGGGACGCCAGAAGAGGGGCGGAAAGGCTTTGGTGAAGACCAAGAAGAAGGACGACGTCGAGAGATATGTGAAACTCGCGCGAAGTAATCGCGGAAAAAAGAAATACGTGACCGGTTTGTGACACACATACCATTCCCTCCCTGTCCTCCCTGTGTTTGACATGCATTTGAATCGATTCGTTAACCAAACAATGGATGCAAATGCTGTCAAATTGATGGCTTTATTGATGGCATTGTCTGTTGCAGTGGTGACGGGTCTGTCGACGTATGACATCGACCTGAAAGACGCGGCGAAGTTCTTCGCGTCGAAGTTCGCGTGCGGGTCGTCAGTGACCGGTGCGGATGAGATCGTCATTCAGGGCGACGTTAAGGACGATATGTTTGATCTTTTGACCGAAAAGTGGCCGGAAATAGACGAGGACTCCATCGAAGACTTGGGAAACATCAAGAAGTAGACGCCCTCTCGACCACACATTTAGTACACGTTTTATGTCTTATAATTGTATTTATAATTAATTTTGTATTAAAAATAATAGTTTTGTTCATTTAATACAATTAAAGATCAATTGAACGTAAAGTTTGTACAAAAATAATTGATTTTTTAAGAGATTAAGCGATGAGAGGGTCAGTAGAGCTTGAGATGACCCGTCACTCTGTCGACCAGCTGTTGAGGGCCGGGACCCACGCCTAGACAGGTCCGGGAGCCGGGGCTCACTTGCGTGTGTCCGGCATCGCGTATAAGACTCGTCACTAACCCTGCTTTGCGGGCCTCCCTATCGATCTCCAGGAGCTCCTCTTCGGTGTCCACTTTGACCACGACTTTCCTCTGACCCGAAAGTCGCCATAAGTTCAACAAAGCCTTCTGTTTGCGGATCTGCTCGTATGCCATCACCTGAAACACACAGATAATGATCAACTGAGTGATAATGAATGGCCAGATGGTGGTGCACATACAGCCGCATGTGATGCCTGTGCGCACGCCTTTCCCTTTCCCATCTTGAGGTCACTCCTGACCACAATCACGAGCTTACACTCGGGTCCCAAACAGTCTTCGCTGAACACGTGGTCGAC